GTATCTATCCAAACGTTTTCTTTAAATGTTGCTATTGTACCTGCCTCAACCACTTTTTCTGGCAGCCCATTCCATATACACACCACTCTCTGCATGAAGAAGTTGCCCCTCAGGTCCTTCTTAAATCTTTCCCCTCTTACCTTAAACCTATGCCCTCTAGTTTTCAATTCCCTATCCCTGGGAAAATGACTATATGCATTCATCCTATCTATGCCCCTTTTATACACCTCAATAAGGTCACCCCTCATTCTCCTACGTTCCAAGGAAGAAAGTCCTATTCTGGCCAACCTCTCCCTATAACTCGGGCCTACTAGACCTAGCAGCATCCTCGTAAATCTTTGTACACAGTCCAGATTAACTATGTCTTTCCTATAACAGTGTGACCACAACTGTGCACAATACTCCAAGCGCAGCCTCACCAATGATTTACACAACTTAACATAACGTCCTAATTCCTATACTCAATATCTCAACCGACGAAGGCCAGCACGCGAAATGCCTTCTTCACCATTGTGTATACGTGCAACACCTCTTTCAACGAATTATGTACTTGTACTCCCAGGTCCCTCTGTTCCACAACACTCCTCAGGACCTTACCATTTACTGTATAAGTCCTACCTTAGTTTGACTTTCTAAAGTGCAACACCTCACACTTATCTGTATTGAATTGCTTTTGCCAATCCTCAGCCCACTTCCCCATCTGATCAAGATACCTCTAATTTTTGATAACCTTCCTCACTATCAACAATACCTCCTAATTTTGTATCATCCAAAAACTTACTAATCATGCTTTGTACATTCACATCCAGATCATCTATGTAAATAACAAGGAACAAAGGTCCCAGCACCGACCCTTGTGGCACACCACTAGTCACAGACCTCCAATCCAAGATACAACTTTCAACAATTTCCTACCATTGAACCAATTTTGAATCTAACTGGCTAGCACTCTCTGGATCACACGCGACCTAACCTTCATGACTATCCTGCTGTGCAGGATCTTGTCAAAGGCCTTACTAAAGTCCATGTAGACAACATCCACTGCCCTACTCTTGGTTACTTCTTGAAAAAAACTCTGAAAAATTTGTCAGATGTGACTTCCTGTGCTCAAATCCATGCTGACATTTGGAAAAGTTGAGGCCATTTTCCTTAGCGAGGAAAAAGCTGAGGGGAGACTTGGACAGAGTAGATAGTGAGAAACTGGTCCTTGTCACTAAAGAATCAAGAACTAGAGATTACAGTTTTACAGTGTTTTGCAACAGAAGAAAATGAGAGAATGAGGAAAACCTTTTTACACACAGGGAGTAGTTTGGGTCTGGAATGCACCGACTGAAAGAGTGGTGGAGCCAGGTTCAATTGAGGCATTTAGGAGGACACTGGATGGTTACTGAGATAGAAAGAGTGTGCAGGGTGATGGGGAACAGGCAGAAGATTGGCACCAAGTGAAAATGCTCACAGAACCAGTACAGACACAATGGGCTGAACATATCTACTTCTTCAAAATCCAAGATACATAAAGGACTTGAATGGCCATTTTGGTAACTGGGAAAAATATTTTTATTTCATGCTGTGACCCAGGGATGGTGGACCTACAGTGAGGGTGCACTCCTACAGCCTCTTTACTAAGCCTCAGTTCTGAGATCATCCTGGGAAATGTGCTTTCTCATGTAGGAGTGTGATTTCTATTTGAGCTGATGGTCCACATTATATTTATCTAAAAGGATCCATTTGCTGTGTGTTAGATTTCACAGATAAACCCACAATATTCCCTGTGGAGATTATTGCAGGAAAGTGTGTGAACCTAAGCTGCACCTTCAACACAACGTGCAATGGAACTGCTCCTGCCTTAACCTGGGACACTCCCACTGCCATACCTGGATCAGTCTCAAACACTGTAACTCAGCATGGTGTCACTCTGACCTATACTTCTGTTCTGAGCCTGACACCATCACTCAGGCTCCAGGGACAAACTCTCACCTGCAGAGTGAGTTATCCAACTGTTTTTTTCAGAGCAGACCCTCATACTGACAGTGCAATGTAAGTATGGCTATCCTTCATTCAACTTTCACTGTAATTGCTTACATCATCCACCGAACAGCAACAATCCACAAATCCCATAGTCACAGAGTTCTAAAGACCAAGAAAGGCCACTCAGCCCTACGAGCCCGTCCAGTCCTGGTAGAAGTTTAATCTGCTTATACAAATTTGTCAGAGGAACTCGTGATTTTACACCTCAGGATCTGACTGTAATGATCTTGACTGACTGCACGAGCTGAAGGTTGATGAGTTAGTGGAGACAGTTGTCTGCTTTGGCTCCCTCTAGCAGAACTTGAAGGGAATTACTTGAAAGGCATACCCCTTGATCTGGGCTACTTCCAGGTATGGGTCTACACACTGCAGAGGTACGTCAGAATATCACAATTCCAGGACATTTGTAACACAGAGTCAGGCCATTCAGCCCAAAATATCTCCCATGGCATTCATTAGTCAAGATCTTTCCATTTATTATGAACGGGGAGAACAGTGCGATGGGTCATATATGATAGCCACAGCGGAATCAAATTGGGAACTGAAGAGAAACCTCTTTACTCAAAGTGGCAAGAATGTGGAACTTTGCTCCCACTTAGCGGTCAAGGTGAAATGTATCCATAAATTCAAGGGGGAAGCTGTGTAAACTCGAGGAGAAAAGGATGGTGGTCAAACAGGAGAAACTAATTTGTTCACCACAGTGCACCTCTTCCGTTGAGGAAAAGGTTATGCAGACTGATAATGCCTGCTAGATCCACCATGAGGCCAAACTAACCAATCAGCACGTGTCTGCCTTGGGGGGCAGCTCAATTGGCAGGGCAGTTGGTTTGCGATGCAGAGTGATGCCAACAGCATGGGTTCAATTTCCGTACCAGCTGACATGCTGACATCACCATGAAGGTCCCACCTTCTCAAACTCACCCCTTGCCTGAGGTACAGTGACCCTCAGGTTGAATCACCTTCAGTTATCTCTCTCAAATGAGACAGAGCAGCCCTCTGGGACTTTAGTGACTTTATCTTATCTGCGTGGTCGCAGTTTAATAAGCTAACACTGACCGTTAACAGTTCCTGCTACATCTCCCCACCGACCACAGAATCAGAGGTTTACAACATGAAAAGAGACCCTTTGGCCCAATTTCTCCATGCTGCCCTGTTTTCTCAAATAATCCAGTCCCATTTGCCTGTGTTTGGTCCCTATCCCATCCATGTCCCTGTCCAAATGTTTCTTAAAATGACAAAATTGTACTCACCACCACCACCACCTCTGGCAACCCATTCCAGATACTGCGTACAGGCACCACCCTCTGAAAATACTGCCTCTCTGGACCCTTTTGTATCTCTCCCCTCTCACTTTAAACCTATGCTCTCTAGTTTTAGGCTCCTGTACCATGGGGAAAAGCTGCAGGCTACCTACCTTATTTATGCCTCATGATTTTATAGGTCTCTACAAGGTCAGCCCTCAGTCTCCTATGCTCCAGGAAAAAAGGTTCCAGGCTATTCTTATGCTTCAAACCTTCCAGTCTGGGTAGCATCCTAATAAATCCTTTCTGCACTCTTTCTAGCTTAATAATATCCTTTCTACAGCAGGGCAACCAGAACTGTACACAGTACTCCAAATGTGGCCTTACCAATGTTTTGTATAGCTACAAGATGTCACAACTCCTACACTCAGTGCTCTGACTGGCGCAAACATGGCGAAAGCCTTCTTCATCACCCTGTCTACCTGCAACTCCTCTTTCAAGGAGAGATGAACCTGTACCCCTAGATCCCTTTGTTCTATAACACTCCCCAGGGCCCTAACATTGACTGCGTAGGTCTTGCCCTGGTCTGACCTACTAAAATGCAATACCTTGCATTTATCTAAATTAAACTCCATCTGACATTCCTCAGCCCACTGGCCCAACTGAATCAAGATAATCTGCTTCACTGTTGACATCTTCTCATGCTGTAAAAAGATTGGTGTTCCCTTTCCATTTTCTGATTTCTTGCATCCCAGTTCTGACGAGTATAGGATAGAATGCTTCAATGTTAGTCTCTCTTTTTAACAAATTAAGTTCTCTACTGCTGACCAATAATCAACAGAAGGGTATATTGAGGTAGTGACATGGGCGAGGACACACATCAGCACTCCACCTGCAGGGGCACTTATAAATATTGACAGACAAATTTCGAATGAAGTATTTTGGCAAATCCAACAACTGCAAATAAGACTTCATTTATGCGCGCACGCACACACACGAGTTTCAAAAAAATCTTCAATTATGCTTAGCCATTTTTCCTTTCACACAATCCCTTGTCTACTTCTGAATGACTAACTAGTGTCGATTCCAAGGAGGCTGGCGTATAAAAGTAAACAATCTTGCCACAACCGCATAGGGATATGGTGAGACCACACCTGGAGTACTCCGTACAGATTTGGTTTCCATACTTAGAAACGGGTGAGACGAAACACACAAGATAGATTCCTGGAATGAGCAGGTGGTCCTATGAGGAGATATTGAGTTGACTGTCCCTGTTATTCTCTGGAGTTTTGAAGAATGGGAGACAATGTCATTAAAACATATAAAATTCTCAGAGGGTTTAATACTGTGAATGCTAAGAGGCTGCTTCCCCCCTTACTCAGACTGGCCCAGCTGAAGAATCTAGAACTAGTTTTGGGGGTGGGGGTGGTGGAAGTAACATTTGGGTGCTGGGCATTTTAGGCCAAGATCAGGAGAAACTTCTTCACTCAGAGGGTGGTGAATCTTCTCCACTATAGACCGCTATGGATTCTCAGTTGTTGAGTGGATTTAATGCTGAGATCAATCAACCTTTGGCCAAAATAATCCAGGGACGCAGCAGAAAAGTGGCATTCCAGTCAAAGAGCTGAGAAGCAGATTCAAAGGATCCTTGTTTTGGTTTTTATAAAGATGGTGAACAGCCCGTGAAGTCCGATGTAACCAGATGGAAGAATCACGACTGGCTTCAAGACATCTTTAATAAGAAATTTATTCAATACTTTAGGGTCCGCAGATAGAATAAGGGAATGTAACTGGCCCTTCCAAGTGCGATGGGGTTTGACTGATGTCCCTTCTTGTCTCACGAGGGAAGGAAGGACATCGAGTGCCATCCTCACAGAACACAGACTCCATGCATTCCTTCTCTCAGCCTGGATACATTCCTTCCCCTCCTCACCCCTCATAGGCCCAGGTGATACGGACATTGGGGGGAAGCTTTGAGTGAGCCAGCTCCTGGAAGGCGAAGGGGTCTGCTTCGACTGGTTGCTGGTAAAAGCGCAGGAGCTCGCCGGGACTCCTGGTCTGATGGAGCTGGGAGTTGGGCACTGTGTGGTTCAGCTCTTGTGCCAACTCGCGGAGGAGTCTGAACCTCTGGCCCTCGTCCAGCTGAGCCTCCCGCCAGTCCGGGCCAGAGGGGGAGCCTGTGACCCGTTCCACCGCTGCCCGCACCCTCTCTTCCAGCTGGTCAGGTGGCTGGTACTTACGACTCCGGAAGGGGGGCATAACCAGGGAGGGATCCTGGAGACAGAGAGTCAAGTCTGAATTCAAAACCCAAATCAACCAAAGGAAACAGAATGAATCAATGTTGTTCCCGCACTGCACACCCAACTCTCCAAGCAGCCCAGTCTGACTATCCTCCTGGTCCCCGCAGGGACTGGCCCCCGGTGTCCCCGCAGGGACTCGCCCCTGACCTGACCCGACCCCCCCCCCGGTTCCTGTACAAATTCACCTCCAGCCCTTGCTGTCCTGTTGCGAAGCTGGAGCTCAGGCTCTTCCTCAGGCCCCGAGAGACCGAGCCCAGTCTCAGCCTCATCGCCAACACCAACGCCGCCATTGTTCTCCCGGTCCGCTCGCGCAGCCGCAAACAACGCCCTCGCTGCTGCTCGGGTCCGGTCCAAGAGATGGTCAGTACGCATGCGGATAGAAAACCACGCCCACTTAACCGCCGGCAACCGGCGCTGAAGAGCAGGTGCGCATGCAGCCACTGAACCACGCCCACCCCGTTCCATCTGGCGGCAGAGATAGCAGGAAGTGCAGATGCTGGAGAATCCGAGACAACAAGGTGCAGGGCTGGATGAACACAGCAGGCCAAGCAGCATCATAGGAGCAGAGAGGCTGACGTTTCGGGCCTAGACCCTTCATCAGAAAAGGGGGAGGGGAAGGGGGTTCTGAAATAAATAGGGAGAGAGTGGGAGGCGGATAGAAGAGGGATAGAGGAGAGGATAGGTGGAGAGGAAACAAACAGGTCGAAGAGGCAGGGATGGGGCCGGTAAAGGTGAGTGTAGGTAGGGAGTTAGGAAGGGGATAGGTCAGTCCAGGGAGGACGGACAGGTCAAGGGGGCGGGATGAGGTTGGTCGGTAGGAGATGGAGGTGCGGCTTGAGGTGGGAGGAGGGGATAGGTGGGAGGAAGAACAGGTTAGGGAGGCAGGGACGAGCTGGACTGGTTTTGGGATGCGGTAGGGGGAGGGGAGATTTTGAAACTTGTGAAATCCACATTGATACCATTGGGCTGCAGGGTTCCCAAGCGGAATATGAGTTGCTGTTCCTGCAACCTTCGGGTGGCATCGTTGTGGCACTGCAGGAGGCCCAGGATGGACATGTCGTCTGAGGAATGGGAGGGGGAGTTGAAATGGTTCGCGACTGGGAGGTGCAGTTGTTTGTTGCGAACCGAGCGTAAGTGTTCTGCAAAGCGGTCCCCGAGTCTCCGCTTGGTTTCCCCGATGTAGAGGAAGCCACACCGGGTACAGCGGATGCAGTATACCACATTGGCAGATGTGCAGGTGAACATCTGCTTGATGTGGAAAGTCTTCTTGGGGCCTGGGATGGGGGTGAGGGAGGAGGTATGGGGGCAGGTGTAGCACTTCCTGCGGTTGCAGGGAAAAGTGCCGGGTGTGGTGGAGCTGGAGGGGAGTGTGGAGCGGACAAGGGAGTCACGGAGAGAGTTGTCCCTCCGGAAAGCAGATAAGGGTGGGGAGGGAAAGATGTCTTTGGTGGTGGGGTCGGATTGCAGATGGCGGAAGTGTCGGAGGATGATGCGTTGGATCCGGAGGTTGGTGGGGTGGTACGTGAGGACGAGGGGGATTCTTTTTTGGTTTTTATTGCGTGGACGGGGTGTGAGGGATGAGGTGCGGGAGATGTGGGAGACACGGTTGAGGGCGTTCTCGACCACCGAGGAGGGGAAGTTACGGTCCTTGAAAAACGAGGACAACTGAGATGTACGGGAGTGGAATGCCTCATCCTGGGAGCAGATGCGGCGGAGGCGAAGGAATTGGGAATAGGGGATAGCATTTTTGCAGGAAGGTGGGTGGGAGGAGGAGTATTCTAGGTAGCTGTGGGACCCGGTGGGCTTGAAATGAATATCGGTTTCTAGGTGGTTGCCCGATATGGAGACAGAGAGGTCCAGGAAGGGGAGAGAGGTGTTAGAGATGGTCCAGGTAAACTTAAGGTTGGGGTGGAAGGTGTTAGTGAAGTGTATGAACTGTTCGAGCTCCTCGTGGGAGCACGAGGCGGCGCCGATACAGTCATCAATGTAACGGAGGAAGAGGTGGGGTTTAGGGCCGGTGTAGGTACGGAAGAGGGATTGTTCCACGTAACCTACAAAGAGGCAGGCGTAGCTTGGGCCCATGCGGGTACCCATGGCTACCCCCTTTGTCTGTAGGAAGTGGGAGGAATTGAAAGAGAAGTTGTTGAGTGTGAGGACGAGTTCGGCTAAGCGGATGAGGGTATCAGTGGAGGGGGACTGGTCGGGCCTGCGGGACAGGAAGAAGCGGAGGGCCTTAAGGCCATCTGCATAGGGAATGCAGGTGTAGAGGGACTGGACGTCCATGGTAAAGATGAGGTGTTGGGGACCGGGGAATTGGAAGTTCTGGAGGAGGTGGAGGGCGTGGGTGGTGTCACGGACATAGGTAGGGAGTTCCTGGACCAAGGGGGAGAAAATGGAGTCTAGATAGTTGGAGATCAGTTCGGTGGGGTAGGAGCAGGCGGAGACAATGGGTCGACCAGGGCATTCAGGTTTGTGGATTTTGGGAAAGAGATAGAAGCGGGCAGTGCGAGGTTGGGGAACGATGAGGTTGGAGGCCGTGGGTGGGAGGTCACCTGAGGTGATGAGGTTGTGGATGGTTTGCGAGATGATGGTTTGGTGCTCAGGGGTGGGGTCATGATCAAGGGGGCGGTAGGAGGAGGTGTC